GCAGAATCACTTCTTCCTTTCTCTTTCCTTTTTTGTTTTTTTTGAAGATTTTATTTATTATGTAAATAATTTATTTATTTATTATGTAAGATTTTATTTATTAATGTATACAACATACTGCTTCCATGTATATCTGCACACCAGAAGAGGGCACCAGATCTCATAACGGATGGTTGCGAGCCACCATGTGGTTGCTGGGAATTGAACTCAGGTCCTCTAGAAGAGCAGTGGGTGCTTTTAACCTCTGAGCCATCTCTCCAGCCCCCCCCCTTTTTTTTTTTCAAGACAGGGTTTCTCTCTGTGGCTTTGGATCCTGTCCTGGAATTCGCTCTGTAAATCAGGCTGGCCTCGAACTCACAGAGATCCACCTGCCTCTGCCTCCCAAGTGCTGGGATTAAGGGCATGTGCCACCACTGCTTGGCTGAGTAGAATCAGTCCTTTGGAGTAGACTTCCCATGTAGGTCAAACAACAAAAGCTAGAAGAAATGCTGGGCACAGCTGGATTAGCTGAACCCTGAAGGTTCTGTTTCCTTTTCAACATGCTTGGAGAGTGACAAAAAGTGAAACCACTGGTCTGCTTTTCACTGAGTTAGTGACTAATACTCCTTAATTCACCCTGAAAGCCCATTATGAGGCATCTTAATGAAATAATAGAAATATGAAATAATAGATGTGGTTAATATGAGGTAGAGAATTAAGAAGACAACAGTAGATAACTTACAAAAATGTACTTTATTTATTTTTGGTTTTTCAAAACAGGGTTTCACTATGTAACAGTCCTGGCAGTCCTGAACTCCCTCTGTAGATCAGGTTGGCCTCGAACTCAGAGATCTGCTAGTCTCTGCCCCCCAAGTGCTGGGAATAAAGGTGTACACCAATATCACCCAGCCAAAAAAAAATGACTTTATTATAGCATATCTCTCTCCCTTCCTGTGTGTGTTCATGTGTATGTTGGGTTGAACTCAGGGCTTTATACATGCTAGGCACATGTTTACCACTAAGCTCCAACTTCTTATATAGTATTTTTTCACAACATTTTATAGTCACATAATGAAACATACCATTGGAAAAAATGACAACTGTCTACAATAAGATGAATCTTATCAATACACTAAGTGAAGAAAATTCCAATCTCTAGACTATATATGATGCCATTTCTTTTTTCTTTCTTTTCTTTTTTTTTTCTTTTTTGTTTTTCGAGACAGGGTTTCTCTATATTACTTTGGAGCCTGTCCTAGAATTAGCTCTTGTAGACCTGGCTGGTCTCGAACTCACAGAGATCCACCTGCCTCTGCCTCCCAAGTGCTGAGATTAAAGGCATACACCACCAACGCCTGGCTGTATGATGCCATTTCTATAAAGTTCATAAAGGAACAGAACTGAAGAATAGATTACCTCAGAGTTATACATATATTTGACTTTATTTTTAAGATTTTATTTATTACATATACAACATTCTGCCTCCATATATATCTACACACCAGAAGAGGGCACCAGATCTCATAACAGATGGTTGTGAGCCATCTGTTGCTGGGAATTGAACTCAGGACCTCTGGAAGAGCAGTGGGTGCTCTTAACCTCTGAGCCATCTCTCCAGCCCCTTATTTGAGTCTTTTTTACCCATGATTAAAGCTATTAAAAAAAAAAAAAGCAGGGAAGGAGTAGGGAGAAGTAGGAACAACAACAACAACAACAACAAAAAACAGGTGAAAAAGTATTTGCTTAAAAATTATATCATGTTTTGGTTTTATTTGAGACAGCGTCTCACTATGTAGCCCTGACTATTTACTTGATATGTAGACCAGGCTGACCTTGAACTCACAAATATTGGCCTGCCTCCGCCTCCCAAGTGCTGGGAATAAAGGCGTGCACCACCATCACTTGGCTAATTGAGGCTAGTTTTAATTAATGACTTTATTAAAAGTATTTTTCAAGCCAGGCAGTGGTGGTGCATGCCTTTAATCCCAGCACTTGGGAGGCAGAGGCAGGTGGATCTCTGTGAATTCGAGGCCAGCCTGGTCTACAAGAGCTAATTCCAGGACAGCCTCCAAAGACACAGAGAAACCCTCTCTTGAACCCCCCCCCCAAAAAAAAAAAGTATTTCTCAAGATCTCTTGGGCAGCCAAGAAATGAGAATTAGAGGTCTGTGTCTGATGCTTTTAGAGGATGTTTGCTGTGAAGATCGTGGTCTCCACTGCAGACACAGAAGCTTACAGAGCTGATTGCTAGCATTCTAAATTCAAGGCAGCTTATCTTCCCTAGCTTCAAAAGAGGCTAGAACACATCTGGTACTTCCAATTTCCTTAGGAAAGAGGAAGGCTCTGACACATCAGGCAAGGGAAACCTTACCTGGGTAGGACACTGGGCAGTTAGTAAAGAAATAAGAGGTGTCCACAACATCCCACTTTCTTGGTGACGCAACATAAGCATCTCTATAGCAAATAATTTAAACTTGCTAAAAAGTAAAGGTAAAATGGCTTAATGTAAAAGTCAGGCATTGCTATTTTCTCAGTATCATTTCTCTTTGCTAAGAGAATACTGATTTTATTTGGCATCTTTGCAATTAGACATGTCTATTTAGTATGTGAGGCAAATATGGAGAGCACTCCATTTAGAATTTGTGGAAACCTTTGCTTTTCCCATGTATCTGCAAGGCAGGCTTTTTCCCTGCCTTCCACATGGGCATGACATCTGACACAGCAGTAAATTATGACAAGAAAACAGCATGAAAAACAAAAGCCACCATGGAAAGATGGCACCCTGTAAAGAAATGCACCTCTTTCCCTCCATAGCGAGGACCATAAGTATGCACAGCATTCTAGGAAACATGCAACCACACATTCCTATTGGTTGACTCTACTAAACTGAGTTCATGGTATTTTCCAATACACAGGCTATGGTGTTTCTCTTGCCGTTAATAAGAACAGATGTTGCCAATCAAAATCCATGAGCTCCACACAGTATTTGGCACTTAAGGCATCTTAACTTGGTGCTTACGAAATGTACTGGAGGGGGCCGGGCGTTGGTGGCGCACGCCTTTAATCCCAGCACTCGGGAGGCAGAGGCAGGCCGATCTCTGTGAGTTCGAGACCAGCCGGGTCTACAAGAGCTAGTACCAGGATAGGCTCCAAAGCCACAGAGAAACCCTGTCTCGAACCTCCCCCCCCCAAAAAAAAAAAAAAAAAAAAAGAAAGAAATATACTGGAGAGTGCCTGGCTGTGAATTTTGGCTCTTCTTTGGACAAGCAAGAACCTTCTGGTGTGTGAGGAACTGCGAAGAGTTGAGATGGAGACTCAGTGTCAGTATCTGACAGAAAAGCCCTCAGTCAGTACAAGGTATAATCATTGTAGATTATCCAGATTTTGCTTCTGCAGCTGTTTTCTAGGTCTCCCAGCTGTTGCATTCTCAAGTTTAAACAGTACTTTCTGTGTCCTACACACAGTAATATCAGATTTATCATACTGTATCATAAACACATGCACCCTTTTTTTTTTTTTTTTTAACACAGGGTCTCTTGTAGCCCAGGCTCGTTTTGAACTTGCTGTATAGCCAAGGATGACCTTGGATTCCTGATTTTCCTGCCTTTGCCTCCAAGTTCTGGGATTACAGGCATGTGCCACCATGCCTAGTTTATCTGGTGCTGAATGCCAGGCAAGCACCACACCAGCTGTTATATCTCCAATTCTCTATGTATACTTGACTCCCTTTACCATGCCTTTCTTTTTAAAAGTCTTAGTCTGCCCCCCCCCCCAACTCATATAACTCCTAGTTGCACAGACCAATACACATAAATTATTTGTTGTTTGTGTGTGGCAGGTCAGAAGATAACTTGCAGGAGTTAGTTCTCTCCTTCCACCATATGGGTTCTGGGGATTGTACTCAGGCCATGAGGCTTCGTGGTAAGCACCTTTATCTGCTGAGCCATCTCACTGTCCCTAATAGACATACTCTTCAACTGGTAATGCCATTTTCTGGGATAATTATTAAAATGTAAATTCCAGATTCCATCCATAAATTTCTATTTCAGTAGGTGAGTGAACCGCATTTTAAGAAACATTAAAATAGGCCTCAGTGAAAAATTATGCATATAGTACTTCGGCAATGAATACCTTATTAATATGCTATTTGAAAGGTTATACAAAAAAAAGAAAGGTTATACTGTGAATATATTGTACTAACTGAAAACTGCTTATGAAATCTATGTCACTTGACAGGATTGCTATATATGTGAAAAAGACCCTCTACATTTTTTGTTTGTTTTTTTAAGACAAGGTTTCTCTGTGTAGCCTTGGCTGTCCTGGAACTCCCTCTGTAGACCAGGCTGGCCTCAAACTCACAGATATCCTGTTTCTGCTTCCTGAGTGCTAGGATTAAAAGCATGTGCCACCACTGCCCAGCTCCTCTACACTTAATTAGACACATTATTCAGTAAAATTAGCAAATCTTCCCGAGAAGTTTTTATTAGCAAATATAATTTCAAACTAAAATTTCATACACTAAATTCTTCTATCCACTGCAAGAGACATTAACATCTTCACACAAAGTGAAGAACTTCCTTCTCCATTCAATATGCTAGCTCTCTATTACCTTCAAAGCATTAACACCAGGCAGAATTTATATGGCACAGGGCACTGAAAGCTCAGTATATCCCCAGGACTAAAAGGAAGATATTCTGGTGGCTAAGATGTAAAGAGGAACGTAAGGCAGATAAAGTGTACTGTGTACACTGCTGAAACAGACTATCTGCTAACACTACCATATTCACTGAAACCTGACTGCCAGCTGACAAGTGGCAGAGGACACCTGCTCCTGATGGGCTTGTGGAGTACACTTTGGGCACTTAGGGGATCTTTCAAGGCAAACAGCTGGAGCTGTCCACTACTCTAATTAAAGTCCATAGGTATTAATGGGATCAGATGGACTCAGAACATTCTGGATAGATTTTGTTGTTTTAGCTGGAATTAGTTCTTAGGACCATAACAAAGAATCTTTACAACACATAAAACACTAGATTCTTTTTCTTTTAAGACAATCTTTCTCATGTGGTATGGTGCTTAGTATCAGCAAATATTGATAGCATTAAGATTTCTTCAGCCATTTTGGGTAAACAAATAGTGTAAAAGGAATTATTTATAAATTTGAGTAAACCAAGACAGGGAAGGCTGGCAAGGGAATTAGTAGATCCTCCCTGCACCCGAATCTCAGTACTGTTCTCAATTGCCTGCATGGCATCAGGAACATAGTAACTTTCTGTGGGCGATAAAAAATGCTTCCGTGTAAAAACCAACCAGATCTAAGACAGCTCACTGCCGGTGATAAGCCATCCAAGCAGTGCCATTTGTCACCATCATAGCTATGTTTCAACTATGACGCGTGGAAATCTGATATGTTCTTCATAGTTGGCAAACCACCTAAGCTGAAGATTCCCTAGTCAAACAAAATGGAAAACTGACTACTTGATCATATAAATAAAAGCTACTGTTGGCATTTAAATCAAGTGCTCAGAATTCTCTGAATGACTAAATGATCCTTGGGAGGAGGAGGAGAAACAACCCAAACCTAGGTGACTTGTTTTCAAGTATATTTCCTGGGGACTACTAATAGATTCTCTCAAATTAAGAGTAAAGACACCTGACCACGAAGGGCCAACTCCTAGCACCAGAGCGAATCCAAACTCCACAGGTGAATGATGATGCAACTCAGAGAGTCTCACAATTTGCTTCTGTGGATCATGTTACTTTTAAAGTGGAAAAAAAAATATTCAGGTTTACACCAAACATGTACTTTTTAAAAGTTTGATCTCTTAAAAATTCTTAGAAGTCAATTTTATAATCCTATATAAAATAAAATCACTGGTTTATAATAAAATGTTTAGGGTTTCAGAGATATGAAAAACAAAAATAACTGAAAACAGTTTATATAAATTCAGGTCCCAGAGTCAAACTAAACGGAATTTCTGACAAAGGAATGGTGAGACGCCTCTATTTTACTAATAAAACCCAAATTGTTTGTGGATAATGAACAGCAATTCCGAATTGCTAGCTCATCCCTCTGATCAACACTGAATCAAGTCTGCAGCAGGACACTTGAATGGACACATCTTAGGGAGAGACAGTCACTCCTCTCCTTGTCGGGCCATCTGCAGCCAGCATTCAGAAGTTCAGTTATTTGATGGGCTGGGAAGCGGGATCCACAGAATTTTCCTTTCCAACCTGAAGAGACTCACTGCTGATGGACAGTAATTCTCGAAGCTCCTTATTTTCAAGCTGGGGAAAAAAGATATTTCCTGTATTTTAACTGTTAAACAGTGTCAGAACATATTGTTTGGGGCCAGAAAGAAGAAAAATAATTTTAAAGTTTTAAATGATTAAAAAACATTTTTGAGACAGTCTCACTAAGTAGACTTTGCTGGCCTAGAATTCGATATGTAGATCAGGCTGGCCTTAAACTCACAGCTATCTGCGTGTCTCTGCCTCCTGAGTACTGAGATTAGAGGCGTGCACCACCACACCTGGACCTTAAATGTTTTTCTTCTTAGATTTACTTGATTATTGTATGTGTATTGAGTGTTTTGTCTACATGTATGCCTGTGCACCATGTGAATGCCTGGTACCCTAGAAGGTCAGAAGAGGACACTGGATGCCCTGGGTCTAGAGTTACATAAGTTGTGTTACCGCCATTTGGGGGCTCAGAATTGAACCCAGGGCCTCTGTATGAGCAATAGGTGCTCTAACAACTGAGCCATCTCTCTAGTTCACAATTCCACTACTACTTTTGGCACTTGACACCTGTCACTTCCTTTGATTTCTATCTAGATAGGGCACCTTACACTCCATCTTTATCATCTCTGTAGAAAATTCTCTTCTCTCTATTTTGGGATATGATCTGATGTAGTGGAGGTTGACTTGGAACTCCTGATCCTTCTGTTCCTACCTCCTAAGTGCTGGGATTACAAGTGTGTGCTCTTTACAGGACATATTGATAACTGCAGAGTTTCTAGCTTCACCAAAAGGTTGAACAGTATGATCAACAAATCCTCCACCATATAAACTGCTTCTTTTAGTACTCAACTCATTTTGACTTATGTGTTATGTGTGTTTTGCCTGTACCTATTTATGTGCGCCATCTGAGTGGACATCAGATCTCTGGAACTAGAGTTATAGATTCTTTTTTTTTTTTTTTTTTTTTTTTTGGTTTTCGAGACAGGGTTTCTCTGTGGCTTTGGAGGCTGTCCTGGAACTAGCTCTTGTAGACCAGGCTGGTCTCCAACTCACAGAGATCCACCTGCCTCTGCCTCCCGAGTGCTGGGATTAAAGGCGTGCGCCACCACTGCCCAGCTAAGGAACTTCTTCAAGTTCCCACGGCAGCACTTGAAATAAGCAGTCAAACCTTCAAATCTTCTACTGAAATGTATTCTCTTCATATTTTTTTACATTCAGACACATAAAATAACATTTAAAAACAACATGGTTTATTCATATTATTTATGTGTGTTTGAATGCATATATGTGTCTCTGTTTGTGCATGCATTACATACATGCTTGGTATCCTTGTGGGTCAGGAAAGGGAGTCAGATCCCCTGGAATTAGTGAGGGATTATTGTGAGTGGCCATGTAGGTGTTGGAAACCAAACCCAGGTCCTCCCAAGGGCAGAAAGTGCTCTTAATTGCAGAGCCATCTCTCCAGACCCTAGTATGTTTTTTTGAGACAGGGTCTTATACAGCAGAGGCTGTCTTCAAACTCACTAAGTATCCCAGACTGGCCTCAAAACTCTCGATCCTCCTGTCACTAACTCTTTAGCTCTGTGACATAAGTGTATGCTACAATACCTAGTTTATAAAGTGCTAGGGATCCAAGCCAGGGCCTCATGACTGCAAAGTAAGTACTTTATTATTAACTGAGCTACACCCCAGCTTCATTTCTACATCTTTTTTTTATGATATACTAGTTATTTTCTTAAAAGACCTCTTCATTTTGTGTGTGAGTGTTTTGTCTACATGTACACCTGTGTACTACTTGCTGTGCCAGCAGTTACAGACAGTTATGAGCTGGGATGCTGGGAATTGAACCTAAGTCCTCTAGCCAGTGATCTTAATCACTGAGCCATCTTTCCAACCTCCACTTTTTTTTTTTTTTTTTTTTTTTTTGAGACAGGGTTTCTTGGTCTAGCCCTGACTATCCTGGATCTCACTCTGTAGACCAGGGTGGCCTTGAACTCAGAGATCTGCCTGCCTCTGCCTTCTGAGTGCTGGGATAAAAGGTGTATAATACCACTACCCAGCTTCCATACTGCCGCTTCTTGACCATTAAGTTTAGATATTATGTATCTGACTTCCTATTTTGGCACATGAAGGATTTCAGGTTACATATGACCTGTTCTTCTCTCTCTGCTTTTTAAATATATATTATTAACAATATATATTAAATATATGATATGGTATTATACACACACTCACACACACCCCTTCTATCTCCCAAAAGCTGGGGTTACAGCTATACACCATCATACTCAGTATATCTGAGGTACTGGTTACCGAACCCAGGGCTTATGCTACACAAGCATTTTACCAACTGAGCTCTGTCCTTTCAGCCCCACAATTCCACTGATTGATGTTGATTGCATTGTTTCTATGAAAAGGGTATAATGGAGAAATTTTAATTTTAAACGATTAGGACAGAGAGAACATCAATACTGCTAGTACTAATTGCTAACATAACACTACTAAGACAACATGGGAGGATGATGCAAAACAATTTTGAGTTTTAGGCCAGTCCAGGCCACATTCTGAGACAACACCCTCCCTCATACACTGCACTGATAGTATAGTGATGACATATTCTGAGATCCTATAAAAACTGCTAAAAATAAGGGTGAACTTAAACAGCAACCACCTTACCTCTAGTTGAGCTAGTTTTTCCTGAATCTTGCAAAACTGATTATCATCCACCTGAACTGCTTTTCTCATCACTTCTCCCATTTCACAGATTCTGTCAATCTGACTTTCAATCTCCTGTGAAAGTAAGATAAAAAAAATAGTTTTTAGTTATTAAGACCATGAAAAGCATATGCATTATGAATTTTAAGTCTATTAAAAGCCTTGCAGAAATAAACTGGGAGGGGTTCATTTAGTACATACTATAGAAGTTACACTTCAATTACACTATCTTTTGAGCCACAATAATTTAAATCTGTGGTACGTCAAATAATTTCCATTTTTCTAAAGACCATTTGACACCCAGGTGCCAGGTGTGGTGGCACATACCCATAATCCTCGTCCTTGGGAGGCTGAGGAGAAAGGATTAGGAGTTAAGGATTAGTCCAAGCCAGCCTGGACTAAATGGGACCTAGCGTCCCCATCCCCAAGTAACAAAACAGACAATAACTCAAATATTTAGATATTTAAAGACATCCCAGTTCCCTAAAACTTGTAAGTCAGTAAAATCCACCTAATGGAATGGGAGATGAAATGTAAATTGTATCTTTCACTGTAGTAAATAGTAGCTTCCAATTTAAGAACTAAAAATTAAAATACACAATACATGCAAATATATAATAAGTAAGCACTGTAGAAACTAAAAACTAGTTAGTTTTTTCCAAATTAAATAGTAAGCAACTAAAACTAAAATAGAGGAACTGCCACAAAATGAACAAGACTCCCCGGTAACATAATGTGAATAATTTAATGAAATTAGTGACTACTTGCTATGTGGAAGATATGGATAAAACTGAACTAATGCCCTCAACACTACAAAACTCATGGTTTAGTAGAACATACAAGTAATCAGCAAAGTATTCACGGAATGCCTTCAACGCTAGCTGCCATCTTGCTTGCTATCTAGCTTGCTATGTAGTCCAGGTTGGCCTACAACTCTAAACTGTCCTATCTCAGGTTGAAAAATAGATGTTGGTGAGAGAGGTGACACCATCCAAAAGGATGTGAGAAGCCCCCGTCCCCTTCCTTTATTCATATCTTCACAAAGCTTCAGTCAGATAGAGTGACTATGAAAACCATGAAAGAGGAACATGCTTTTCTGCAAACAAAACAACAACTCAGGATTTCAGTTTGGTTTATTTATAATTTATGTATCAGGGTTTCCTTACTGCAGAGTGGGACTGGTGAGCTTTCAGAACTGGTTCGGTATCCACTGCTTTTTTAGCAATCATTAACTGTAACATCTGTTTCCGGTACTTGCTCATGATGAGTTCCAAAGCATCCTGGTGTTCCTCCAAGGAAACCCACAGCTCTAACAAAAAAGCAAACATCTGGGCAATGATGTCTGTAACAGGTCTCAAGGCAAACCTCCTAACAGCTGGGGCTTTCTGATACTCCATGGGATATTGTGAATCCAAACTTGGAAATTGGTATTCCAGCCCACAGAAGTGAGTAAAGTCTATCTGAAAAACAATTTTCTAGGCAGTGGACTTTTGTAGAAGGAAATGGGATATGTAATCATAAGACACAGATTTGAATTCAGTTTTCTCATTTACTTGCTTAATTAAGACTCAGAAGCAAAATGAGCCCATTTAAAAAAAATATTATCACATTTTGTTGATTTGTGTGCAAATACCACAGTGTACATGTGTGGTCAGGAGTCATTTCTCTCCTTCCAATGGAATTCTGGTCCTTAGGCTTGGCTCTTCAGGCTGGTGCCATTACCTGCTAGGCCATCTTGCTGGCTCATGTGAACCTGTTTCTTAATTGCATTGTGTAAACACTTGGGTTGTGGACTTCAAAATGACAACAGGGGATGGAACGGAAGGTGTAAAAAGGTCTCTGCAAGACAACTGCCATACTGTTGTCATTACCAACCCGAAGAATGTATATTCTGGAGACAAAGTTCAGCCTTCCATCTTGCCCAGGAACATTAAAAAAAAAATAGATAAATAAAAAAAAAAAACCTACTTCGATATTAACTTTAGTGTTCACTCTAACATATATCAGAAATTACATTTTGAGACTCTGAATTTTAGTTATATAAGCCTCCATCTGGTATGTGCCCACCCCAACCACCAAACAACTCAACTCTACTAAACAACTCTTTCAAACTCATCTTTCAAAGACTTAAAAAAGAGCAACCTAATAGACTTTATTGTTACCAGATGACCCTCTTAAGCACTGACCTTAAGCACTGACCCTAGTTATGAGATGTGTAAGCTTATGAACTTATTCAGGCACTTGTGTAAGAACGTTCAAAGTATTACTAGACATACACACACACAGCCCGACTAACCTCTGTTTTCCTGCTGCAAGTCTCTAATCTGGGTATTCTCTTGAGACAGCAGAATGTGAGGTTTATATTTAGACATGTCCTTCACGTCGGGTGCATCCTCTTGATACTGGACAGAGAGACTGATTAAGCCGCTGCAAACACAGCAGGTGCTGCAGAGGCGGCAGCAGTCCCACCCATTCCACAGGAAGCTCTCAAGCCCTCCCTGTCCTCCGCACCAGGATAATTAGACGGTGACCCCACCTGCCCTCTCCCCGCAGCGCCCACCGCCCAGGGCGCG